ATACTTGCTGTTTAAGAGTAGTGTAGTAGTTATATTATTATAATAAATTCAGCTGCCATAAAATTCATTAAAGAAAATGTAAATATGCAATGAGTAGAAAAATATTTACAATGAGTAGAACAATATTTACAAACTAGCTATTTCGCTCATTTGTCTTACCAATGAAAACAAAATAAATTATGATTATTTAGAAACACGAGTTATTAAGGTACATGGAAATACGCAATTCCTATCTACTTTGTGATACGTACTTAAAATTAACAATGAAAATATTATAAATAACATTTTAACCTATAAATCATTTGCATTCTTCTAAAGCTAAGCACCAACAAAAACTCAGTATGCATAACGAGTGCTTCGATTATACTTCGTAATCTTTTGGGCACTGATTTTACTGATTGTGCTAATTATTTTGCTCTGATTTCCATTCGTTTTGAAGAGCGTGTATAAAGCTTCCGTGCCAGAAAGTTTCCATTTTCTCACTTGCAAATCCCAGAAATGCCATAAATTCTCAAAAGAAATTAAACCTGGCGGCTGTAAGGGCATCCGCAGTCAGTTCTTGGCTTATTACAGGAACTGTGTGCTTAGGATAGAGTTCCTATTGTAATCATATCAAATCTACGATTTATAGCTTTCTGTATATAATGGCATTAGAAATAGTGAGTTTTTTTACTAAGGTCTGAGCCTTATTTATCTCAAGCGAAGTATCGTCATGGCTACTAAATGTCTATGCAGTGATCAGAAATAACTCAGAAAATGATTAAATTTTAAAGAATTAGCCCCAGTCCACAACATGCAGATGGTTACAAAATAAAATTAAAATCAAGGTTTTAAAATTACTTGCTGGTAAACAATTTATATTCATGCATTTCTATTTCACCTAAATTACATTTTGATGAATTCCCATGGAAGAAGATAGAATAAATTAAGATAAAATGACTCGTTAAGTAAATTAAAATCTTATATTTTTCTTTCTTTTTCAAGTAAACAGAAATAAATAAATAGTTCTTAAACAGTCCTGATTGATATGTTACTTCGCATCCTATAATTATGTTATCTAACAATCATTCTACTTCAGTTAAACTCGTGTTGCCAGTTCCATTATAACGCATACATTTTCACATCATTACATGACCACTACTGCATGTCACACTTGGCTTTCAATTACAGAGAAGAATTCAGTTCAATTGCTTGCATCTTCACATCATTACATGATCCCAGCAAAAGTATTTCATACTCGGTTTTAATTTACAGAAAAAAATTCCATTAAAATGCATGCATCTTCACATCGTTGCAAGACCACTACAAAAAAGTATTTCATAATCGGCTTTGAATTACAGAGAAGAATTTCATTAAAATGCATGCACCTTCATATCATTAGATGATCACTACATTATTTCACACTTTACTTTCAGTTACAGAGAAGAAGATCCATTAAAATGCATACATCTTCCACATCAATACAAGACCACAACTGTATTTTATGCTCGGCTTTCAATTACACAGAAAAATTCAATTCAAATGCTTGCATTTTCACATCTTTTCATGATTACAGCAAACGTATTTCATATTTGGCTTTGAATTACAGAGAAGAATTCAATTCAAATGCTTACATCTTCATATCATTACATGATGATCACAGCAAAAGTATTTCATACTCGGTTTTAAATTACGGAAAAAAATTCCATTAAAATGCATGGATCTTCACATCATTGCAAGACCACTATAAAAAAAAGTGTTTCATATTTGGCTTTCAGTAACAGAGAAGAATTCAATTAAAATGCATGCAACTTCATATCATTACACGATCACTACATTATTTCATACTCGACTTTCAGTTACAGAGAAGAAAGTCCATTAAAATGCATACACCTTCACATCATTACATGACCACTGCAGTATTTCATACTCGGCGTTTAGTTACAAAGAAGAATTCCATTAAAATGCATACACTTAACATCATTACATGACCACTACAGTATCTCATACTCGACTTTCAGTTATAGAGGAGAATTTGGAAAATTCGGAAACTTGGGTCTCCTGTCGTGTGAATTTTTTAAATCATAAGCCGTTAAATAGTTAAAAGAGATTAAAAAAATAAACTGATTATAGTTCAATCAAAGTGTTATTGACAGCCTTACAATTTTAGTGGCTATGGGATCTCCAGTATCAGTTTGTGGGTATCTTGAGTAAATCAAGTTTAATTTTCTGTTAATGGTTAAAATCTTCATGTTTAGTGCTTTTCTGTTTCAAACCTTGAAATTATAGTCTCCAATTTACAGTTGCTTGAGTTACACAAAGACTGCTGAAAATGTAAGTAATTTTAACTGTTACTCAAATGTGCTTTATGAAATTATATTGAGGTAATAAGCTTCAAGATTTATTAGTTTTAATTATGGATTTCATTTTTTATATTTCATTTGCTTCTTTTTAGTAAATAAATATGTATTTTTAAAACTATGTTTCTAATTTTGTTTTATTAAAACACGATTTCAGGTTTGCTTATATTACGTAAAAGCTTTTCTGTTCGTCTGTCTTACATGAAGGATTAAAAAAAAGAAACTGAGCGATTCGACAAACCTTTAAGAAAAGTTTAGGATTCTTTCCAATCCTAAATTAAAATTTTGATTTCAAAGTAAATGTTTTGTTTATAATACACATCTTTCCTTCCACCCGAAATGAAAATATTTAACTTGCTTTCGTCGGAGAATATTACACTTTGAGGAAAATACCCTTGGGTTATTGACATTTGCTTTGGCAAAATCAAGTCATTTCTACCTTGTTGTGCAATAAGATTTCTTTTCTTAAGACTTCTTTCTTGACATAGGATTTCTTTTTCGGTACTGTACCTCAATATGTGCTTTATGAAGAAAATTACGAATAGCCTGAAAATTTAGTATGGCCCTTGATGCTGAAATGACATCAATAGCTCCTTCTCCATCACTTGTGATGAGGTTTTGACACTTGCTTTATGACATTCCTTAGCGGCGATGTATCCATCTTCATCCAACGCCAAATACTGATTTATTTTTTGGTTATGCCATTGCTTCTTTCCCTTTATTATCACTTCGAAAACGTCAGAAAAGTTAAGACTTCATTTTTTTTTTTTTTTTTTTTTTTTTTTTTACATTTCCATATAACCTTAACCATGATAAAGAAATGGTATAATTCTGTGGAATTTCTGTGCATTTTCTGTATAATTATATTGCAATCTTTCTTAATAAAAATGCGAGTCTTCCTTTCATTGCAGTATACATAACATAATATTTAACTCTTTAACAATGATTTTAATTGTGCAAAAATTTTTCTTTGTTTGCTTTGCAAAACATGATTTAAATTTTTTAGTAAATATTTTTTTAAATCTCTTTAGAACAAAAAGTCTGTCTTTACTCCAAGAAAAATCAAATGTTTAATGTTTTTTTTTTTTTTTTTTTTTTTCCATAATGGCACCCAACATCTGTTTATGCAAAAAAAGGTGCATATGTATAAATTTTTATTTGCCTATTTTGCATATGTCATTTCATATTGCATTTAGGCATGTGCATGTATTTTTACTTTGCTTCTTTTGAAGAAATAACTTACGCAAGATTTATCTTTAAACATTACCCCATAGGGTGTACACTCTGATTTAGTACCATACTATGGCAGAAGCAGTTTGGGAGAAAATAATTTTGAGACTAGCGGTTCCGGAACTCCAACAGATCATTTCATACGGTTGGACCATGGGAGGATTGGTGAAGACTCGAACCTCTGAGCAGAGAGGCAATAACTCTGTACTCCGCCGGGCGGTTGGCTGACCAGAGACTGGGTGAAGAGAGGTAACAACTCTGTAATCCTACTAGCCCACAGGGAATGTCCCTAGCCCGCGTAGTACTGCCAGGAGCAATTTGACAACCAGTCAGATCTCCAGATTTCCATCCTTTCCAACGCTGTGGTCTCTGATCGCTGAGAGTGGTGGTTCCGGTTACCCAGTGCAGCAGTGGTTCAGAGAACTACTCTTTAAAGTCTGCCCTTCTGGTATTGGGGCCCCCATGATGGTAACATAATTGGCATACTTCTTACCTCTCTTTGGGGACTTTGACTAGAGCCCCGCTTCCTGCCTAATAGGGAGGTTTATCAGCTGGACTACCGTCCTTGTAGTACTTGACTTTCAGATAGAGGAACACATACATGGAAATGATACACTATATTACATTATCATTAAACATGTCATTATAGGTTTTAACAAATCCGCTGACATGAATTTAATCTTTCGATAGTAGAACCTGATATAACAGTTTCACAGGTAGTACTCCAAACTAGAACATAAATTTTACTGTTTAATGTAATCGCATTATAAGGTATTTCTCCCACTTCCCTAGCATGCCTTCGTAGTGGAACGAAAGCACGCTGGGCCGGTATTCCAGGGGTCCGTGGTTCGATTCCCGGCGAAGGCGGTAGCATATTTTTCATCTTTTCTGCTTCCAATTAACCTAATGACTCTATAACATCAATTAATAGAAATAATGCTTCTCACTTCTCTTATGACAGACCATAGTATTGAAAATTCATCTATGGAAAATTTAATTTTGCATTTCTATTAATAATGCATTTTTTAAGAATTGTTATTTATATTTAAAAAGCGGTTTATAATAATAAACGTATCATAAAACTAGTAATATTAGACTATTTGGCAATTTTTAATGAGAAAACTGCTGAAAGCTATTGCAAAACTAAATGAAAATTTGCATCCAGTCGTCCCATAAATAATCGTATGTCACAGACCGGACATACTGAAATCTTTTACAATACGTTCAAATAAACGATTTTTCACGGATGTATATAAATACCATTGAGCAAGGACAGCTTAATTTAAGTAAATCCAGTCTTACAATAGCGCGAATATTATTTTATTGCTTTTAGAGTTGTATGATAATTGCTGCCGAAATAAATGTTCTTTTCTTATTTTTTGCATTATTCAAACATACAGTGATTGGAAGATTTTCATTCTGATTACTGACCTTTTATTTTGGTAGGATACAAGATTATCTTCATGAGAGTATTCTTTAAACCAACCGCATCATAAAGATTGTCTTAGATTGCAGAGTGAACTAGATCTCAGCTATATAAAAGAAGCAAACTTTGGATATAAATGGAAGCATACATTAAAACATCTTAACACCTCTCAATACAAGCAAAACACTACGTGATTTGAATGGTCAGAAACTGGATATGCGGCTTCGGTATGCGGTAGATATTTTATATTTAATAAATGGGTATCGTTTCCGTAGGGATATTCTGTATACACGTGTTATGTCCTTTACATATGCGTCTATAATGCACGGATAAATAGATAAAAAAAGAAAATGTATATATCTAATAAAAGATTTTTTTTTAAGTAGATATATCTTAAATGGTTTGTTCAAGCACTGAGCCAGGGAAAGATGTAAGACAAATTAGACATTTAGACTGCAATAGTATAGTTCACTTGTCAATAAAATGCGGTAATACAGAGGCTGTTCGCACATTTTTTAGACGATTTTGTTAAGCGGTAATTAAAAGTCGTTTGCTGCAAAAGAAGTAATTGCAATTGTACTATGTTTCTAAAAGTCAAAGTTATCGTCTGTGGCTTGAAAGTTTTGTTTTTATTGAAAATGGCGAATTTAACAAAGCAATGGTTCGAAGGCTACATTTACGCTCTTTCCGAAGAGAAATATGCATACTCCGTTATCCAAAAATGATGTGAGAGTCATGGTTTTGTGATATCTATAGCGTCGATAGGTAATATCATCAACAAGAAAGGAAAAAAAAACGTCAAATTGGAGTCTCAAGTGGGACAAAAATTCCAAACAAGTATCGAAGGAAGAAACGGACATCTTCGACTATTGCAAAGGTACGCTATTTAATGTTAAAAGAAAATCCCCCTAGTCAAAGGACAGTTGCAAAATCATTAAAATGCTCGGTGGATACTGTAAACAAAATGATAAACGTTGATTTAAATCTTAAGAGAACGAAAAAACGCAATGTGCATCGTCTCCTTCCAAAACATATGGCTCAACGCAGGACACGCTGCAGAATTCTATATGAGAAACATTTATCCAAAGAAAAATGGAAAACAATTGTCACAATAGATGAAGCATGGGTGTATGTAAATTATTGTAACAAAAAAAGAGCCATTTATTACCAAAAAAGGGGAGAAAAAAATTTAAGTATATGGTTCAAAGAACCGAAAGAAAGTTTTTCTAAGGGATTCGTGATTGTTGCTGGTTTTTCTTATAATGGCAAGTCAAAAATAAAGAGAGCGCAAAAAATTCAAGATTACGCCAAATACTATCAAACATATTTTATCGCCAATTTTCTGATGAAATACATCGCTCACCCACAGTGCCATCAATCGTGGGCCCATCAGGACAAAGCTAGCAGTCACACATCAAAATCCACTGTAAATTTCCTAAAAGAAATGGAACAAAAAACTGGTATCAAGGCCATACCCTTCATTGATATCCATAATAAATCTCCAGATGTGTCACCTATGGATTTTTGTGCTTTCTGACTTTTAAAAACTGCATTATCCAAACGTTGTCCTAAAACACTAGCAGGACTCTCGAAAGCTGTTCGGGAAGAATGGGATAGAATACCTCTTCTGCCCCTTCAAAAGGCATTATTATCCTATAAATTGCGCTGTCGAAAGACAGTTCAGAATAAGGGATGTCAAATAGAACATTTAAAACACAAGAATTTTATGTAATTTAGTTTTGCGAATATAATATACATCGTCTAAAAAATGTGTGAACAGCCTCTGTATTGTCGCCTGGCTAATAAAACAATAGAAAACTGACATTTTAACATGAGTCCTCAGAGAGGAAAGCCCACCAGCGGCCGAGCGGTAAAGTCGCTGAACACTGGTAGTTCGGTCCGAGGTTCGAATCCCGCGAACGGGCTGGCTGCATGGGCGTTTTCGTGGTTTTCCCCATGTGTAACGTGTATACGATCCAGTTTCCCTTAGAAAGTCCTCCACGAAGGCATCCCTCCTCTTAGGCAGATAGCCCTCGAGGCTTTGCCATAATCACACACACACACAGACAGGAAAACGAAATATCAGAAATATTGTAAGGTGTTTTGTCCCTCCTTTCTGTATGCCTGCATGTTGTAACGGTTAGCAGACTCGGAGCGTATTCCAGAGGTCCAGGTTCGAGTCCCGGCGACGGTATTGCACATTTTTCAAATCTCCGGGTTCAAAATAACCTACAAATAATTCAAAATAACACTCTACAGTGCCGCCTGAACTAAAATAAGGTGGTGGATGATGATTCTTCACCACCAGGATTTGGCGACTAGGTCTCCTAATTCCCAGTCGACCTTTGTAAGGGGAGAGTATATAAGAGGAGCGTATTCGACAGGTCCTGATTCGAGTCCCGGCGAGGGGATTGCTCATTTTTCACGTCTCCTCCTTCAATAAAAAGAAACCTAATGTTTCTATAACATGAATGGTAAGTACAAAAATGTTGTACACATCTCAATAATACCGAAAAGTTTATGATGTATAGAAGGGCTAAAATTTGAAATTTTAATCCGACATTAATCCGTACTTGAAATAGATGATTCTTCTTTTATTTTACTCAGAGAAGAGTGATATTAGTCATAATGTTGTGGTGATTTGTAGCTTTAATATTTAATTACTTAAAAATGGAGTGCATTGAAATTTTAATTAATTGCCTCCATAATAGTAGCCTTTTGAAATTAGTTCTGTTGTTGAAACATATAACGCTGGAATATTTTCGATCGGGATATGATATTGCTGAACTTCGTATTCTTATTGTTATATTCGAGATAAACTATCTCTTGCAAAATACCATTGTGCTGTGTTATTTTTAGCAGTTTTCTCTAGGATTCTATACAAGTCTCAGCCTGAAAATAATTATCTTTTACCTAAAAATGTTGTTAATTGATACAAAAGTTTCATCCTCGCAGGATCAGTTTTCTAACTTACAAATGAATTAATGTAAACTTGCAATGAAAAGGGTGGCTGAGGGAATTAAGACAGCTGGACGCTAGTAGTTCAATCTGAGTTCCAAATCTCGACAGCCGTAGTATTTTCACGCTATCTGCCTTGTTAAATATTCCTTGTTAAATAAATGTGAGCCAATTCCCTTATAATTTACATCCCGAGATTTATTGTCCTCTGACGAAGAGCTTTTGCTTGCTTGGACTTGAAAACGATCATCCAAAAGACTTCTTACTTTTATTTAGATAGCTAGCAGCTTCCCTGCCAGTCTTCGTTTGGCTTTTAAATGTACCGGAAAAATGGCTGAAGGGAACACCAAACGTTAAATTTAAAAACTGCGTAGAATTTTATTCTGAAGAACAACTTCATAAGAAACCGTTATTACGTATAACAAAATTACAATGAAATAAGCAATATCCCTTAATACAAATATTAATTATCCTAATAAATAAATGAAGCAACTTCCCTTTGCAAAATCTTAAGAACTCAAATGGTATAAAGGTGGTTAAGAACTTGGTTTCCTAAAAAAATCACTGAAAACTTTTCAATATCTTAAAGACAGTGAAATGAACAATAAATAACATAAAAGAATACAAAAAACAAAAAATTCTGAAGAGCAAAGTATAATTATTGGTATTTTATCTTATATTTTCAAAAGAAAAAATTACAATGAAATAAGCTATATCCCTTAATACAAAGATTAATTAGCCTAATAAAAAATTAAACCAACCAAAACAACAAAGACAAAAATCATGCAAAGATTTTCAATGTTACAAATAGTGAAATAAGCAAAAAATTACATGAAAGATATAAAAAAAACAAAATATTCCGCTCACAATTTTACTCTGCTGAACAACTTTATCAAAAAAATCAATAAAAATGTATTATATATATAAAAAAATGACAATGAAATATGCCAATCTCTTAAAAACAGTGAATAAGAAATACGATAAAAAATTGGTGCCAAACGCATATTTCTAAAAGAAAGAAACTATTCAAAATGATGTGATTTCATCAACAATCTATCAACAACAATGAGAAAGGAAAATTGTTGCCAAAATCATATTTTCAAAGATGTGAGATGTGTACTCGGAAGCTTCATTTAATTTTTTTTAAATACAAAATATTATTATTTTTCCAAAATTCTTTTTGTAAAAGCAGTCGCAAGGATGAAAGTTTAACGTGTCCAAAAATCAAAGAAAAATAAACTGTACATTTTTAAAAATAACCTTTTTCAGAAAAAATCCCGTTGAAAAGATGTTAAGCTCTCCCTGTTAAATAAATTCGTATTGAATCTATTTATTGAAACACGGAATTTATTTTAAGTTCGTAAAATAGCTAAATGCCTACGTTTCATGACGATGTGAAAATGGAGTGTGTAGAGTAAAATCTCGCTTTCCTATAGCCCATTATGTCTCAAAATGACGCTATTTCGTAACAAAACATAAAATAAAAAATAAAAAAAAAATAAATAAAAAATAAAAAAAATTCGAATTCGAATTTCGAAAAAACGCCTTGCGTAGTTAAACAGTTTGATACGTAAACAGTTTTTTCATTTGATTTCAAGCAATTAAAAGTTTAATGACGTTCAGTCCATGAACACAGTATTAATGTATTTAAAATTTTATCAGACACCCTTCTGGTGTGCTAATAAGGCAGGGGGCTGCTATTTCCTTTAACCCTATTCGAACTCTGGAGTTAGCATGGATATTTGTGAGAGTGTAATGTCCTTGCGATGCGGAAATACTTAAAATAGAATACAGAAAGTCATCTCGAATGGTTAGGGGAAAGAAGAGGTTAGAGATGATTGGATTCATCTCGAGGGATCCTTCTTAGGCGCTGGACAAATTCTTAAGGCATACAGTGTTTAAGCCAACGACAGCTGCGACCCTTGCCTCTTACCCACGATAGGATTCGTGGAATAAATATAATGCTAATAGCAGACAGTTGAGACAAGCTATAAGAACAAACTTTTGTCCACATAATTACTAAGTATTCTCATTAAATTTTGTCAGATAAATTATTGAATATTCAAAACTTTTACATCCAGAAAGCAGTTTCAATTTAGATATAGCATACAATTTACAATGCTAAGCACCGCGTAT